GGTCCTGGCACCCAACCAAAACCACGACCAGCTTCGGGCCAGGCCACACCCCCTAGCCCCACTCCCCCTGCTCGCCTTCCCTCCCAACTCCGTTACTGCCCCCCCACCTACAGCCAAGCCCCCAAGTCTCCCACCGGACCGCCAAACTGGGACTTCCTCTCACACCGAGGTCCCCGCCCTGACACTCCACCATGCTAGTAACCGATGGCCCCCACGCCACAAGCTCACCACTCATGCCTCACTGCAGGACCCCCAACATCCCAAGATGGTCCCCCCCTCCCCCCTCAGCCGGGTCAATTCCACTCCCAGTGATTCTTTACCCGTCAGCGTGTCACCCCTCACCGTGGGATCCCCCCTCACTCCCAGTGCACCCCTACCCCAGGTGACTCCCTCACCCATCACCCTGCTTGTGGGGCGTCGAGTTCTGGGCTCCGGTCTCCATGGCGACTGCTACCAGCGGGGATCCTGCTTTGTGTGCAGCTGCACAGCTAGTGTTGGAGGCTTCAGGGTGTGGCCGGTGAGGATGGAGGCCGTCCCAATACCTTTTGCTGCACCCTGACCCCTACTCTCTGCTCTGTGCCTCCTCTGAGCCAGCGGGTCAGGGTGATCCTAGGGTGCCCACCACTGGCCTGTGGGCCATGGTTCGTTGATGGGCCTGATGGTGATCAGGACCCCTAGGATGGAGACATTGGGCACGTTGACGTGCTGTGGTGAGGGGGGTGCAGAGCTTGCAGCTGAACCTGAGGACCGATAGCAGGCGGGTGGGCTATGTTCATGGCCTGGGCTCAATCCTGGTGGGTTTAGGGATCCTGTTTATTCACGCCAGGGCAGACGGAAGGGGGATGGGAGCTTTGAAAGTGTCCAAGCCAAAGCTAGAGAGCAAAGCAGGCAGCTGCACTGGCCAGGCCTCCTTGGAACCCTCCACAAAACTGGTCTTTGCATACGGAGAGACTGCCCATTCATCCGCCAATGATAAGTCGCCTCCCCTTTCCCGCATATAGTTTACAGGAATTGAAGTGACTTTGATAGGGAATTATAATAGGAGATCAGGTCCACAGTCATGGTGAACCTGGTGGGGCTCCTGTGTGAACTCCAGCCTGGGGCAGAGGAGGACCCACTCAGAAATATCCTATTACCTCTCACCAAAAGGCACTGTAGTAGAAAAGAAAAAATCTGACTCCATATTAGATCTGTTCCTTTTATTTTAACACTCTGCCCTGTTTTCTTGGCTTATTCTTGCCAGCTCTGCACCTTGTGTAAAACAATGTTGCCTTTAGCATGAAATACACAGGAGAGCCTATTCTCAAGGCTCTGACCTTTAAGGAGGTTGACACTTCTGCACTCCTATAGAGACAACAAGTTGCAGAACAGAAACTAACCTTTGTTTTGTTGGAGGTTTTACAGGGGCACGGTGACCTGACCCATGTGGACAGCTGCAAAGGATTCCAAGAATATGAAAAGTCCTACACCAAGAAGTTTGCAACAACCAACCACATCCCCTCCCCCTTTTACTAGCAAAGGAGCCTGAAGTCTGACGTGGGGAAGATGGTTCTCCAGGACATAAGTCTGCCATTAACTTGGTCTGCAGCTGTCCACGTTGGTCAGGTCATGCTGGCCCTGTAAAACTTCTAACAAAATAAATGTTATTTTCTATTCTGCAAATTGTTGTCTTTATGTTAGTGCAAAAGGGTTAATATCCTTAAAGGTCAGAGCCTTGAGAATAGGCTCTCCTGTCTATTTCAGGCTAAAGGCAACATTGTTTTTACAAAAGGTGCAGAGCTAGCAAGACTAAGCCTAGAAAACAAGGCAGTGTTTAAGCCGAAAGAGCATATCTAATACGGAGTCAGATTTCTTATTTTCTATTACGGTATATTCTATTTTTATGGTTTAAGTTTACAATTATAAAGTTCAGCCTTTTTCCATTTTAAATTGTGCAATTCAAGAGCATTAAGTGCATTTACAATGCTGTGAGACCAACACCACTGTCTGGTTTCAGACTATTTCCTTCCTCTAAGTAAAAGCTTGTATCCAAAGCACAACCCATGTCCTCCCTCCCCCAGCCCAAGACAAGGCCTAATCCCCATTCTCTTTCTCTCCCTCTCCACCTATCCTGGAGATTCCCTATCAAAGAAATCATACAAAAGGCGGCTTTTTGTGTCTGCCTACATATCTAAAGCAGGGACTGGTGAATTATTTTTTACATGAATTCGCATTTTTGTATTTTGAGAGGAAAGTTCAGATGGATTAAAGATGAGATGCACAAAACGAAGCCCTTTTAGTAACTATAGTAACTCTGCATAATCTTGGGGTAGGCACTGCTGTTCTAAGTGTGAAGCCACAGCCAGAAGGGAGATGCTTAGCTCTTCCTATGGCAAAACAAAACCAAAAGCAATGTTACAGAGGCCGTGGGGAGGTAGGCACTGTGCAGTTAGAGGGCGGCTACAGGGAGGGGTGCTGCCCTCCCTCAGCAGGTGGACTTGCTCCCATCTATCCTAGGGCCTGTCCTGGGGCGGCCTCTGCTGTCCCGGGGGCGGCCTCTGCTGTCCCAGGTTCACAGGATGCATGTCTTCATGTCAGCCTGCTCCTGGGAGGAGGGTGCAGTGCACTCAGGGGGCAGCATCAGCGGCAGGCAAGGACTTTCCCCAGGACTGGGCTCTAGCCCAGGATGACAACCTCTCCTTCCTTTTCTTGCTTCCTCAGTTGGTGGTTGTAGCAGCTTTTCCATTATAGGTTACTACCAGATACTGAACATATGTTTCTGTGCTATACAGAAGAAACATTTTTTTAATCTATTTTTATATATAGTGGTTAACATTTGTAAATGTTTGGCCACCATATATAAAAATTCCCAAATTTATCCCTTCCCACCTCCTTTCCCTGGTGACCATACGACCATACAATTGTTTACTAAGTCTGCAAGTCTGTTTCTGTTTTGTAGATGAGTTCCCAGTGCCTTTTTTTTTTTAAGATTGCACATATCAGTGATATCATACAGTATTTTTCTTTCTTTCTGGCTCACTTCACTTAGAATGACAATCTCTATGTCCATCCATGTTGCTGCAAATGGTATTATTTTATCCCTTTTTATGGCAGAGTAGTATTCCATTGTAGAAATATGCCACATCTTCTTTATCCAGTCATCTGTTGCTTCTATAGGTTGCTTCCATGCCTTGACTGTTGTATATAGTGGTGCTATGAATACTGGGATGCAGGTATCTTTTCGCACTGGAGTTTCCTACGGATATATATCCAGAAGTGGGATTGCTGGATCATAGCGTAAGTCTATTTTTAGTTTTCTGATGAATCTCCATACTGTTTTCCACAGTGGCTACACCAAACTACATACCCCCAACAGTGTAGGAGAGTTCCCTTTCCTCCACACCCTCTCCAGCATTTATCATTCATGGACTTTTGAGTGATGGCCATTCTGACTGGTGTGAGCTGATACCTCATTGTAGTTTTGATTTGCACTTCTCTGATAATTAGTGATATTGAACATTTTTTCATGTGCCTATTGGCCATTTATAGTCTTCATTGGAGAAATGTTTGTTTGGGTTTTCTGCCCATTTTTGGATTGGGTTTGTTTTTTTGTTATTAAATTTTATGAGCTGTTTATATTTTCTGTAAATTAAGCCTTTGTCAGTCGAATCATTTACAGATATTTTCTCCCATTCTGTAGGGTGTCATTTTACTTTGCTTATTGTTTCCTTTGCTGTGCAAAAGCTCCTAAGTTCAGTTAGGTCCCCATTTGTGCGTTTATTTGTGCTTTTATTTCTATTGCTTGGGTAGACTGCCCTAGGAGAACATGGCTGAGGTGTATGTCAGGTAATGTTTTGCTGATGTTTTCTTCTAAAAGGTTTATAGTGTCTTGTCTACATGTTTAAGTCTTTAAGCGGGCCATCAGTGTGGCCATTTTACACAAAAGCACAAGAGCAGCAGAAGCACTTAGCACCCTCAGAGCATGGGCTGAACCGAGCTCTACTTACGCAACCCTCAGTGTCTCCATCCTCCACAGGGAACGTGCGTGAACAGATACAGCACCAACTTCGTAGTGAACAGTTCTGTTAAAAAACAAAACAAAATAAAATGTTAACTTTTCATTCTTGGACTCTATTTATTCGAGCCAATTAAAGAGAGGAACAAATGGGAAGTCTTTGGATAAACAGTAAAAGCTATACTTTTTGGTAGGAGAGAATATAACTGGAAATAAAAACAGCAAAATAATAACAACAGTGATCTGAATACACATTTGATTTAAACACATCCTCTCCTCTTTTACTCCCTCTAATCCCATTCATTCCCTCTCCCTCCCCCCTGGCGTTCTCTCTCTCCCCTTCTCCTCTCCCTCCCTGCCTCCCCCTCTCCCTCACTCTCTTTCTCTCCCTCTCCCTCTCCCCTCCCTCCAGTGAACACATTCACCTTACCCATCTAATTTCAGTCCACAGAAGCACTCAGCTATGAGTTCAGGTGTAGTTTAATATATTATATTTCAACACATGCATATGGTTATTTCAAGTTCTAAATTCTATTCTGGATATTTAAAACATTTAGAAGAAATGTAAGAACCCATTAATTTTAATGTTTTTATATAACAATCTGCTAAATGGTGAGACAGAAAAATATAAGTATCAACAGAACAGTATCACACACACAGAGTAACTTCTCTGGATTTGCATCACACACACCCAAGTTCCAAAGCTCTCATTACAACAGGCTGTTAATATGCCAGACGTGATGCTAAGTAATGTACACACTTTACCCAAACTGGTCTCTGTACCAACCCCTTAAGGTTGCTTTAAGGAAACCAAAGCTTGTGCATGTACCACTTACTTCCCGAGGACCCACTGCCTCCCTCTCCACTGGGCCTCACACTTCATCCTCTTCACAGGTGCTTTTACAGAACAAAACTTTCTCATTTTGATGAGATCCAGTTTATCAATGTTTTCCTTTCATGGACGTGTTTTTTATGTCAAGTTTTAAAACTGTGATCTCAAAGAGATTTTCTAAATGTTCTATAGTTTTGTGTTATACATTTACACAAATGACCCATCTGAATTAGGGTTTGTATAAAGTGTGAGGCTTACGCTGCGATTCTTTTGATCTTTTCTTCTTATTCTTTTTTCCCCCTATGGGCATCCATTTGCTCCATATGAATGTCTTTTAAGCCTGGGGGAAAAAAAAATCTCTTCTCATCTTTTTCAGTCAGAGGCAATCTCTCCCTCCCTTGTGTCCAAGATGCTAAGCATAACCACCTCCTTGGATTTAGTCTTTAGAGAATAAAAGTCTGGAAGGGAAGGGCCTTGTAGACAACTTAAGTTTTCTGCCAAGTCTCACACCTCCCCTGAGGAGAAAAGAGCAAAGGGAATGCTAGCTGCTTAAACTGGGGGAAATAATAGGAAAAATACTGAGAGAAAAACATAATTAACCTAACAAAAATTACCCCGCAGGCAGAAGTTTGCATATTGGCAACTAAGCGAATTTTCTATGAAGAATCTATTACGTACATCAGATTGTCAAAGATACCCCAAACCACACCACCAGTTTTTTTGTTTTTAAACCACCGTCTTCAAGACAGAGATTCCTGCTATCAGAGAAGGGATTCTCCCCTGTAGAGAGACTTGAGGTCAAGGTGCTTCCAGCAGAGCAGGCTCTCAGCCAAGGATGTGGGACTCACAGGCCTCAAAACAGTGTTCTCTGCACTCGGGTTGGTATGCTGGTTTAGTTGAGTTTTCTTTACCTCTCGACTTGCAAGCTGATTAATAATCTTTCAGGAGTTCACCAAAATAATACAAATGGGGCCCTCAAACTCTGCTGAGTTAACCAGAATGGTTCTCAATGCAGGCATCCCACTGCTCTCCTTAAACAACCTACAAGGAAGTGCATGACTTCTTCCCTCCATTTACTCCTTTAGCAAGGACAAAACAGTGAGCATCTGGGCGCAGATTCCCATATACATATTACTATAAAAGGGGTACAAGAATGAATGACACGGTCCTGGCTGAAAACTACACAGAGGAGATGAATGCACCACCAGCAAGACTAATGGACGGCAGTGTGTGACACCACTGGTCTGGGGCAGTTGGGGACATTCTACTACCAACACGTCTTAACTGAGTAAGTCCAGCCCCCAGATATTGAGGATCCACCCATGAATCCTCTGAGAAACAGGAAAATCACTCACACACACTCACACACAATTTCCATTCAGAGCTGATACTGAAGGGCAGTTTCAAAGCAATTATTGGGACAAGAAGCTTGTTTGACTAACTTATAGGCTAACAGAAGCATCACCTCAAAATCTAAGGTCAACAAACAGTCCTCCTTGCCTGACCTTCCTCAAAGGACAGAATAGTTAAGGTATGTTTTCTACAAACTAATTTTTAAAAAGACCATGACTGGCCTCTCCCAAATTAACACTCACTTCTTCCTGGACATAGTGCTGTTGAGATCTTAACAGACTGAGTTCCTTACAGACAGAGGCTGGCTCTCATTCACTTTTTCATAGCCAGCACACACCAAAATGCCTAGGACACACAAGCTCTCAATAAACATGAAAGGAACTGAGTTAAAGCGATTGATAAGTAGACCCAGGATTAAAAGGTTATTGCAGAGAGAAATTTTAAGTGCTTCAGTTTACATATTTCTACAGTAGAATTTCTGCTTGGACACCAGTCTTCTATGTTAAGTGCCAATGGGGGCGTTTGGCTGAGCAGCTGGGCCACAGGCAGGCGCTAAAGCAAGCTGTCAGGAATCTCCTCATAGTAACAGAGAAATGCGGAAGTACATGTCTGAACAGCATGTACAGAAGCACCCCCTATTTACTCAGGGCTGAGTCTGTGATATTTCTACTTGAGTTGCTGCACAAGGGGAAACAGGTATGTTCTGAGATGACCCGTCTGCATAAAATGTAAATGAACCATCGTGAGTTGAAACAATCAAATCCTCACACTCCATACTAAAAGAATCGTATAAATCGGACTAGAGCAGGAAAACAACAAAGCACATTGTTACTTTAACTTTCCACTCCATACAGAATATAACACAATCACAAAGGCATTTGGAAATTAAAAAGAAGAGGAAGCTTTTCTCTTTTTCCTGAAAGATACTGCTTACTTCTAAAGTTAATAAACTAAACGTGGATCAGTGAAAATGGTCTTACACTTTTATGAAGAAAATAATCGAGAGATTTCTTTTTTCCCTTCACCACTGATTTTTAACCTATTATCTCTTTCAGTTCACTCTAAGCGCATCAAACACCTCAATTGTTTTTTTCATTTTCACTGACATCCAATGGCTCCAATTTCTGTGACTATTATTAATCCTTTGTCTTCAAAGCTATATTTCTGAAAACAGCACATTCCAGCCCAGTCATTTGTTGAGTGTGCAGCTCTAGACCAAGTCAGGCTGCTAAGTGATGACAGACAGAAGGAAGGCCACCGTGCTCTCTGCAATCAGCAGGGAGGCTGAGTTTGGGAGAGAGACTGAATCTCTCTCCAGGGAGATGAGGCAAAGAGGAGAAAACAAACAGCTCTCCTTCCTAGACCTACTCTTGCAAAACTGTTCAGCAAAGCTAGCCTAGTCCCAAGACCCAGGATAAAAAGGTATACACAGGACCTGAAGAGGGAGAGAGGGAAGACAGACTCTTGTAAGATAACCTGACCATTTTGGAGCACAGCAGAGGGTTTTACAAGCTTGCTCCAAGGCAGTGACTGCGGGCATACCAACCCTGCAAGGACATCAGTCATCCAAACATGAACACAGACATACACCATGCACCACCCACCGTCTCAACCAGACTGAGACATGGAATTCATTGTATTAACCCCTCTTGTGCCTTATCAATTATTTACAACTCAGGCTCATTGAATCATCACATTAAAGGGCCGTGAAGGCAAAAGCACTGTCATGCTTCCATACGGCATGGCTCTGCCTGCTGAGTCACATTCTGGAACGCAAGTGCAGCGTTTACTTCCAGACATCGTCAGGAGCAATGATCTAACGGCCCTGCACTTGGAAGTAACAAGACAGAGCAAGCATACACTGAGACAAGACGGAAACAGGACAGCCTCCCTCACACTCAAGCGCCTGTGCTCTCTCTCTGTGTCTGTCTCTCTAACACACAGGAACCACGGACGCTGACCCACAGCTCTCATCACCTACTGTATTTGACCTATGCATGCATGGTCAGTGTGTGCATTTATAAACAAGCATATTTATGTCTGTATTGTCACATATTTCCACTAGGATGTAAACTTCTTGAGAAAAGAGACTTTGTATCATTTCAGATACTATGTTAACCCCAGCACCCAGAACATGATACTCATCCCACAAACTGTTATTGAATGAATAAAACTACTTATGAGCTATGTGGTAAAACCTGTTTTAACAGACAAATAACGCTTTTCGAAAAATGTTCCCCTAATATTGGTTTCCAAATCAGAGATCCCAAGTAATAATTCTGAATAATATTCCCCTAACTTATTTTAATTAATACATAAATATTAACAAATATTTTTAAAATATTCCCTTTTAAAATGCATTCATGTAAAAGTATAACAAACTTCATGCAGATAGTGCATCCTTATTAATCCATTAGTAGGTCTGTGTGCACATGAAGGAAATGCCCTTGTTGGTATTTTATTACATTCCCATAAAAATGGACAAAAGTAATAGGATGCAATCCAGAGACAGAATCTAGAACAGAAAATACTCCCAATATAAAAGGTTTCAGGGTCGAAAGAAAATTGGTAATCAAACTGTAAGCCTCCAGAATGAAATCACATCTTTAAAGCAATAATTTAAAAACTGTGTTGCATCTGACAAATCTCCTGCCAACTACCAAAACCTGTCTCTCCTTAATTTATTCTGTCTCACTATTGAAGAGTGTGAGTAAGAACTAAGAAAGCATAATCCTGCAGTTAATGCTCAGCGCACTTCTCCCTCACCTGACTGCTCACAACTTCTGCAGACCACATTCTCACTCCTTCTGGTGTTGTGTACACAAGCTGTATACTGGTAGTTTTAGAGCCATACCTCATTCTGGAAGAATCTCAAGAAATTTAAAATAAAACAACAGCAATGCTTTATTTCACGAACATGTCAGAATTCAATCCATAAAAGCAACATGAGCAGGATGTGTGGGGGAAGAATATATTTAGTTTAACTTCGGTAGGCTCTCTCTCCAATTGAATAGGACACTATACACTCTTCATCCTGGGAGTCTGACTAATACTCTCACAAGAATGCACTGGAAATCATCTACGCATACACATCTAAGTGGGAAGGGGAAGTTAAAGATCACTCCATCGCTCCACTGGTACCTAGAATTAATTACAGGACCCATCAATGAACTGCATTTTCAATCGCTACAATTATAATTACGTATATCCAAAAACTGTCAATGGAATGAGGCATGAGCAGATTGACAAATCCATTTAGGAACATTTATGACCAAAATGCTCCTAAATTACTCAGAAGTAACTGTCACTTCTGGCCATGTCCTTAATCAATTCCACTACTTCTTATAACCAACCTGATCTGACTTTAGTTATCTGACTATAGTAACAATGTAACTGAGGACAGTCACATCATAATTACAAAACAGAGCTATGAGACAAAAGAAATGTTTACGTATTTCCCTGGAACTTCTGCAGCTTTCAAATCACTGTCCAAAAGTCAAATTATTTTTACTCCTTTTTCAAAAGTGAATGTATTTTTAGGTTATCATAATGTGTCTCTCTGCAGGACAGATTCCTGTCAATGAAAGAAAGGCTGCCTCCTGGCTGTCCTGGCCTTCCTTTGCCTTCCCCTTGCTCCCTAAGGCTCTGAAATGTCTTAGGGTGAGAACAGATGGAGACGAAGACATGTCTACACAGTGATATTAACAAGTCTTGAAAGAATAAAGTGTTCTATACATATAAAACTTAAGGAACTCTTTCTATCATTATATGCAAATGATTGCTCCATCTCACAATGTAATAGAGATGTAAATAACTGTTCTTTCTTCAGTAGCATCCCTCAGGCTCCTGCTGCCTATGTCTGACTCATGTTCTCCCTCAAGTCATGATCTGACAACCATTTAAACCCAATTCCACCTGTTAAACACGCCATACAAGGGGCACAAACCAGTATGTTTTTACTGACATGACTACCTGAAAGAGCAGCGGTATGCTGACCTGAATACATTTTGAGACTAATTTGACACAGAAATTATCAACATTAAATCAGAAATTATATTGGGGATGGAGCAGTCTTCAATATGCATGCAATGGGAGAGTAGACCCAGAATATTAAAATGTATTTGAAATTTCCCCTAGTTTTCTCTGTAATAATAACCAGCTACCTAAAGAATTAGCAGGAAACCTGATCTCAAGTGTCATGTTTAATAAAACACCTACTTAACATACAGAATGCCCAGGAGAGGTGGAAACCTGCAGTCAGTGCCAGTGAGCTCAGTCGAGGAGATATGGGGTCTATCTGATGCCGAATATTCTCACTTGAAAATGAAAACATCCAACTATTCAAAAACCATGCTCATCCATTCCTGGTGCCTAGAGCTTACTTAGCAAGCATGAGTAAGTAGCCCCTCCCCACCTCACTCAGTTCAGCAGAAGAGAGAATTTCTTTGATATAGTTCAGCCTCTCTTCCTCCCAAGTCTATGCTTCACCACACTTCCACCCACATGCCCACGGTCCCTCAGATTTTTTCCATATCTGACTAAATGCTGCTCTTCTATCTAAATAGCAATGATAAAACAACAACAATAATAAATCTGTTGATCCCTTAATTGCATCCAGTACTTTACGCGCATTTTCGTATTGAATCTTCACAACAATCCCATGAAGCAGCAGCTAGTATCTAAGCTGCATTTTACAGAGGAGAAAAATGTTTAAAGAAATTAAGTCCCCTGCACAAGTCACACAACCCGTAAGTGGCAGAGGTGATGACCCAACCCAAGTCTGTCTAGTTCTAGAGCCCAGTCCCTTCATTACAAACCCCTAGAGTTTCTGTAGAAAGAGTAGAAAGGCTTAAAGAATCACTTGGTTGAAGTGTTTCATTTAACAAATCAGAGAATGAAGACCCAAAAGCCTATGACAAGGCCTCTTTTGATCCTAAGTCTCTCAGAACACCTTATACACTTTAACACACCCACACCCTGATCCTCCTTTGGGTTCCAGAGCTGATGTCCCTGGTTCTCCATTTAGCTACCACTCTGGATCTCCTGTGACTCTTCCTTGCCTGCCCATGTCCTAAATACCAGCTTTCCCAAGGTCCCTTCCTCAGTCTCCTCCCTGGTTGGTCTATTCCAAGGCTCTGCGGCTGTTATAAAGCAACACCCAAACTGAGACACACATGCCCCTAACCACAGCTCCTCCCTCTCTATCCAGGGCTGCCGTTACTTCAACCCTTCCCCGTGCACTTGTGATTTATTTCCAATCCACACTGTGTCTAAGGGTAAGACTCAAAAATTTCAATTCCTGCTTGACTTCCCAGAGACCTTCTGTTCTCACAAGTGTCCAAAATTTAACTCAGTCCTTGGTACCAAATTTGTACATCTACAATCTTGAACACCATCCCTCTTCCCCTTAAATGTGACACATTGTCTCCCAGGCCACATCTAGTCATCCCTAAGCCAGTGCCCCTGCCTGAAATGTCTCTGGCCCAGGCAATCCTATTTCAGTGGCTGCTCCCCAGGGTAAGCTTCCCATTCTCTCTCACATGGATGACCACATCGGCCTTCTCCCAGCTGGTTTCCCTGATCCAAAATCTCTCCACCTCTGGTCTGAGCTCCTCTGGTTCATTAGAACTTGTCTTTTCAAAGAGATCTGATCACTTCACCCCCACCCCCACACTCCTAGCTAACCATCTCAGAGTAGAAGGCAGCCCATGGGAAAGGAACAACAGCCGCTTCAAAAGCTGACCAAGCCACGCCCTCCTGTCCAGTCCCCACCCCTCTTCCATCCTGCCCCTTGTGCCTCTGGAATAATGCCACTCCCAGAGCACACTGCAGTCCCTCTGAGTCTCCTGTCTACCCTGCTGTTTCAAATTAACTCCTCAAACCAAAGGCCTTTTGAATTCCCTCTCATCTTTTATGCAAACCCTACCAACACCATCAGCATCTTCTTCCTCACCTACTAAAAGCAGAATATTTCCTGTAAGGGGTTTTTCCAGGCTGTGCACGTCACACTTCACCATAAGGTAGGTCTGCCTAGTGAGAGAGGAAAGGCTAGTACCTAGGTCCCAGAGAGACTTCTCCCAAGGGTAAACAGCTACTTAAATGATTAGTAACTTTCCACATGTTCCCTATATGCTGCTTTAAATTACAGAAATAAGTATTTACTAACAATAATTACCTAAGTGACATGTTAATGTTAGGAGAAACCTCCACATAGATAATTCATCCAGGCAACACCAACTGTCACAGGGACTTCATTTATGCACTCTTCCTCTAATCAGTGAGGCAGAACAGAACATTCAAATCACTCTCAATATCTTTATGGTTTTATACTATTTGTGCACTTTCCCCCATGATCCAGACCCCTGCAGTCTTGGTCCAATGCCAAATAAGATTAACATGAGAGAGGAATTAAAATCACATAAACTACTAGAAAAAGTGGTCAATTTTATCTTCTATGTCAGTAAATAGAAGACAACATAAAAAGGACCTGAACCTTTGGGCCATTTGAGAACTCTGATTTTGAAACTGAGTATGAGACTGAACATTCCAGAAAGAAGATTAATCGAAACTAATGAACATTTAATGAGGTTTTAAGTAGCTCAGTGTTTCACTCCTCCCACTTAGTTTACTTCATTCAATGCTTCTTATCATGTTTCAATTGGACAAAAATTTTCATCAATTCTATTGACAGGGAATCAAAACATAACATGAGTAAAAACTTCAGAGGAGGCCAGCAAATGGATAACTTTAGTGGACAGATAACGTTAGTGGCCCACTTTCTATTATGCAAATGGCCTGATGAGACACATCCTGAACTTAAGAAACTGTGTCAAGGCAAGAAGGTGCAAGGCTCCAGGCTCTGGGCTCAGGTACCAACCTCCGCTGCTCTTCGCCATGTTCTCCTGAGGGGACAGTAAGGCACTCATCCATGTGTCCATGAAGCAACCTGAGGACATCACTGCTGATGAGATACCCTGGAAGGATCGAAACCAGTCACACTGGAACAGTCATGGTCAGATGCTGACAGCTGGACAGATCACCTGGTTCAGCCTTCTATTTTCATAGTCAAAGATCCAGAAGCCTAGTGAGGCTTAGGTAACTGGGAAAAATGGCAGACACAGGTGCTGCCACCTGCCTGCTGTCTCTGAGCCCCGGGCTCCCAAGTCTAGAATCCATGACTGTAGCCTCAAAAGACCCTCCACTGAACAGACAAGCCTGGATAGGCTCAAGTCTGGACTATCTAAGTGAGAATAATCAGAACAGAGCTATTTCCCTGGAAACCCTGAAGCGCAGGCACTACTGTGCTCCGGGTCTAAGTCCCGCACCCCGGAGGATGAGACATCTTGACAATTAGCCTAAATGAGCAATATCCTGAGGCCAGAACATTGGAGAAAATAATCCCTAGAAAGCTCACGTGTAAAATACACACAAATAAACTGAAATGTAAAAATAAGGAAGGATAGACCTTAACACAAACTTCACTTTAAAGTAACAACTTACATGAGAGTCTTGAACGTCACGCATCTGCGTTACAGGCTTCTTTGACACAAAGAGCTCTAATGCATTTGCTCATTATCATGATTCCAGGGATGACTGTTAACTCTGCATCAAGGGAACACCCTCCTCACTGCCGTGGTGTCTTTACCCTGGGCTGCTTTGCTTCCTGAGCTGATGGGGGCCACGCTCCAGAGGGTCTGCTGGAAGGTGGCATCCATGTGCAAGCTGCTACTGCCATAGGACAAGTGCTGCATTAGAGGCAAAATGAGGCATCACTTCAGGCTCAGGGTGACTCTTCACACGTAAGTGTTCCTGGCAACTCTAACTGAACATCGCAGGTTTGGAAATGTCCATAGACAACATCTATTTCAATCCCATCCCTCAAAAATTAAGAGACTGGTCAAAAAAAATTAGAGTTTATATTTGATATTACGTATTTTTCAGCTTTATTCTAGGAGTTACTACTTAAGTCACCAAGAGAAAACACACAAATCAATCACCTCACACCATTCAGAATGACCATGATTAAAAAGTCCACAAAGGAGAAATGCTGAAGAGAATGTGGAGAAAAGGGAACCCCCTTATGCTGTTGGTGGGAATACAGTTTGGTGTAGCCACTATGGAAAACAGTGTGGAGATTACTTAAAAAAATAAAAATAGAGCTACCATACGATCTAGCAATCCCACTCCTGAGCATATGTCTGGAAAAAACTCTAATCTGAAAAGATACATGTACCCTAATGTTCACAGCAGCACTATTTACGATAGCCAAGACATGGAAACAACCTAAATGTCCACTGACAGATGACTGGATAAGGAAACTGTGGTGTATTTATACAATGGAATCCTACTAAGCAATAAAAGAAGAAAAAATAATGCCATTTGCAGGAACACAGATGAACCTGGAAACTGTCATACTAAGTGAAGTAAGCCAGACAAGTAAGCAAAATAGTGTATGATATCACTTATATGTGGAATCCAGAAAAAGTGATACAAATGAACTTATTTCCAAAGCAGAAATAGACTCACAGACAAAGAGAACAAACTTAAGGTTCCCAAAGGGAAAAGGTGGGGAGGGATAAATTAGGAGTTCAGGATTTGTAGATACACACTACTATACATAAAATAGATAAACAGCAAGGTCCTACTATACAGCCCAGGGAACTACATTCAGTATCTTATAATTCCCTATGTCATATGACACTGCAAATCAACAATACTTCAAGTAAAAAAGAAAACACATAAATGAATGTACTATCATACATTTATTTGTTAAAACAGACTATTTTGTTTTAGAGGCTTAAGTTTTCTACATATCACGGTGTGAGAGTGTTTTGACAGTGAAATAGGTAAAATCTACTGGACTGATGTCTTAATTTTATAGGGTTCTTTGGGAACTTTTATCTACAATTTGATGTAACAGTCATTAGATGGCAATATTGCCCAATAGGTATCAAAACTGAGGCCAATAAATTTCCTTCAAAATTCAGATATTGCCAATTTCAGATGTTCCTTCTTAAAAACAAATGTATTAAAAGAATATCATATTTTGTATCTTTGAGAGCCATAACACATGAGTTCTGAAATGATAAGTAGAGAAAAACAAAACGATGAGTAACACCAAATGCTGTGCTTATTTCACTATCACCTGACTACTGCTAGAGTTTCAAACACTCTTAGCACAACCACCTGTTTCCTTGGAGTCATCTCAGTAAACTTCACCAACACTCCTACAATGTTCCTACAACACTTTCCAATGCCAATGGTTGCCTAAGCTCTTAAAGACTAACTGCGCCAGAACTTTCCCAGAAATCTGACTTCCTAGTTAGATGAAGAGCAGTCACAGCATGAAGAGTCATCCTGGTACCAGCTACAGGCCTTTCAACTCCAACGGTCTCTTCTGCCTAAATATGCTAATCTCAAGTCACCAGCAAATATGGGGTTTCATTTTCTTTCTCTTAAAAAAAAGACCAAAGAAGTTTCTGACAGTTGACATACATACCATTATCTTATCAATAATTTTTCCAATCAATAAGATTGAAAGTTTGCCAGTGCATGCATGAGATTTAGCAAAAACCAGCTCTTCCACCTCCTCCTCTCAACCAGCTCTCTGCCTCTTCACAACATCCTCTTCACCTCAGCCTGTCAATCCTGTGCAAATCCCGCCTGAGATGCCTTTATTGAATTAATTTCTTTCCAATATGCTAAAACTCTTTAACTACTTACAAATTAATCATATGCCATCTGCTTCCACAAGTAAGAAAACACATTCTCCTTCATGGCCCTCATTACACAATGTGATTGTTGAGTGTCTTTTTCTTGCTGCCTCTTGTAAGTTACCTGACACAGGCTCACAACTGAACTCCCAGCACCAAGCAGGGTACTCAGTAAACAAGGATGTGGAGGAGTCAACACAACCTTTAATATCAAAGGAGCATAAGCTTTAAAAATATATTTTAAGTTATTCCATAAATATTCCTATTTCAATGACCTAACACAAGCGCACACACATACAAACCTGTAAAACCATATGGATTTCACTAAACCATCAGAAGATGAGTCAAAATACCAGCGCTTATATTTTTACTACTGAATTCAGGTGAAAGCTCATGCCATGTTATGATAAACAGAGATTTGTTAATTCATCCTGGTTCCCTG